GATGAGGGTCCAGGCTCCTCAGAGTAATCTGTTAGAACTGTTTCTGCTTCCAGTGTATCAGCTTGGTGACATGTTTCTCACCCTCTGTGAGTGCCTGACTTTCCCACTGGGAGCTGCTGTGGATGTGAACACAGTAAGCCATGGATATGTGCCATAAAGTGATGTTTGCATGAGAGTAGAGGTTGGAGCTCATATTTTAGATTCCACTAGAAGCCCTGACCAGAAACAGGCTCAGAGGGCCATCAACTAAAGACCTTGTGAAGCCACGACTCAGTGATGGACACCAGGAAACAAACTGCTATATCTGCCTCTCTTAGAGCACAGGCTAAGAACACTAAACACTGACTGTGCATGTGTGACAGTGTTGGGAAATGCTGGGCCAGGAGCCTCAGGGAGTGCTGCTGTGCTTTAATGAGCTCTCTGGAGCCCTAGAGGGTGGCTGTGACTCAGGCAGAAGTGCCAGCTAGCAGAGAAGAGCCAGATGAGCAGCGGTGTCACTACCTGCTTCTCTTCTGTGTCCCACAGCTGCATCCTATGACAAGCGAATTGCACTCTGGGATATTGGGATTCCAGACTGTGACTACAATTTCAAAGCAAGGTAAAGGTTCAAAAACCAGATGTGGCCAGTCCAAGAGCCTGTAACTATCACAGCACCACTTAACTGCTTGTTCTCTGCTCTTTTTTAGCCAGCTGCTGGTGCTGGAAACAGCCTCAATCCCCCTCCGGATTGCCCTGGTCCCCACCTGCCCGGAGCAGTACCTGCTGGCAGGCTGTGAAGATGGCTGTTTTGCCTGGAATATAAAACTGGATAAGGGACAAAAAAGCAGGTGAGAAGCACAAGGTGGGAGTGTGCATTTGCTTTCCAGAACAAAAAGGAGTAGTCCTAGCAAAGGTTTGATTTCTAACTGAGGAGGTCTGAGCAAAAGCAGCACATCCTATCAAACTTAGAACATCTTCCCCTTCCCAGAGTGGCCAGAAAAAATAGAAGCATGATACTCAAGGACTGTTCAGAGCTTGTATTAAAGCTGCAGGTGTTGCAGGCTGCTTTGCAGGAAGGCTGGCAGGAGTGTAATCCAATACCCCAAACTTAAGGGTGTGTCATCTCCAGGCAGTGTAATGGAATGTAAACTTTTGGATCCATTTCCAGTCTCACAGTGAGGCCTCCCCTGCTCCTGGTACGTGAGGTAACCCAGGAAACTGGGACCCTGTGGGAGCTCAGGACAAAATTATGAGGAAGAAGCAAGCAAAGTCATGCCCTGCTGACAAATATCCTGATGCTGATGGAGTGCAGCAATCTCTTGAGCAAACAGACTTCTGCTGTGTTAATAAACCCAAGTGACCAAAAGTGTAAACTCAACTGGGAATTCACCTGAGCTTGGCAAGAGACTCACAAACACACACAGATTTCCTTCTGGGCTCTGCAGCCAGGTGCCCTTTCACTGCTGGCTGTTCAGAACTCGGCTGATTTCACCCTTCCCCCCTGCTCTAGGCCTTTTGAAGCCATATTCCAGTTTCCTAGTGAGGAGAGCTTGACAACATCTCACAGGGTTGACGGTTTGGCTTTTCTCAATGATGATGTGGTTGGTGAGTATAAACACAGCAGCACAATCCCAAAAACAGTGGGGCACTTCAGCATGTGCAGGGTGAAGCCAGCATGACAAGCAGAGGGGCTGAAAGGAGTGTGACAGCCTCTTTTGGCTTCTGGGGGACTGCACAGGATGGAGTTGTCTCCCAGAGTCACTTGTCTTTCCCAAAAATGTGCTTAGAGTGCAAACCCATGCTTGGACAGGACCAGAAATCAGCTGGACACATCCCTGAGTGCACACATGGCCAAGCAGTGCCAATGTGGAAGGGGGGAAGAGTCTCTTTCTGCTCAAGGGCTGGTGGCAACAGGGTATTTTTTAGGGGAACTGTGGGTTTCACATCATGGGCTGGCTCCTTCTGAACAGCTTATGCTTGTTCTGCAGCTCAGGAACATAAACATAGCACTGAAAATCTCTCTGCAACCTCCAATTATTCTGAAATAAGGTAAAGCAGGTGCAAACAGTTGCTGCTGGATCAGATCCCATGGCTTGAAGTCCATATTCTGGATGGACCACCTCTGTCTCATTGCAGCTGCCACAGGCTCTCCCTTCCTTTCTTCCCTAGTTTCCAAGAGCTCCAAACCAGGATGCATATACTTGTGGAGCTGGAGCAAGTCTTTTGATGCCAAGGGAAAAGGATGCCAGAGGACAATGTCTGCAGTTATCCTGGCTGAGCTGGAGTGGTCCACAACAGACATGTCCTACCTGACACTCAGCACCTGCCCAGGTAGGAGCGCTCATTTCCTGGGGCCATGGCTCTCCTTTGATCCATGGGAGCAGCCTGGAGCTGGAGGCAGAGGCCTGGGATTTCAGAGGATTTCAGAGGATTTCAGAGGATTTCAGAGGATGTCAGAGCTCTGCTCTCCCCCCTGCAGCTCTGCAGTGCAGCTCCAGCAGCAGCTGGGTGGAAATAACAGCAGTAATAAATAATTACAGCTGCACCTTCTGCCTGATCAGGAAAGACAGTTGAGGCTGGGGGGTGTTTCTTGCACAGGTTTTCAAAGCACAGAGTTAAGGGCTGGGCCCTGTGGCGCCACTGGGATGCTGAGTGTATCTGTGGGCAGGGATGTCACACACTGGGCAGCTGGGTTTGGAGACTGACAAAGAACAAACCAGTCAGCACTTCCCAAAACAGAGTCAGGAGAAATCCCAAAACATTTAGCACTAGCTTTTCTACACTAAAGAGAGCTGTTTTATCTTCAAATGAATTCTTTCAGAGTAAGGTAGATTCATATTTTTGTGCCAGTAAGGGAATTTTGCTGAAATGTGGCACCCTCCATTGGGATCCTGCAGCTGTCCTTTATAGCAGAAAAGACCCCCAGCTCCACACTCATTTCCCAGCTTTTTCTTCTGCTCTCACAGCAAAAGAATACGTGTTCTGTGGGGATGAGAAGGGCAGTGTGTGGATGTACAACCTCTCCACCTACACCTCGGGCTGGGGCTCTCCGAAGGGAAAGCGCTCGGAGCGGAGGATCTCCCCCACTCAGGTAGGGCTGAGCTGCTCTCTGTGCCTCCCTTCAGCTGATCCCATTCTCCTGAGCAGGCCTGTCCCAGAACATGCCTTGTGTTTCCACAGCTGACCCTCAGAAACAATTGAAGCAATCTCCAGTGCGTGGCCAAGGCCATTCACTGGGGACAGGAACGAAAAGCTGCAAAGCAAATCTGTCACTTGCTGCAGCTCCTCCTAAAACAGCCCCAAAAAAGTGGTGAGGAGCACAAAGGCACAGGTGTGCAGGCACCACATCCTCCAGGGAGGAGAGGGAAGCCAGAGTGAACATTCCCTGGCAGGAAAGGCCTCACTCCTTCCCTATGCTCACTCACCCTTTTTCTGCCCAATATTTCCCTCTGGAGACAATTCTCTGGTGGGCAGTCACTGTCCCCTTGCCTGTCCCTCTGAAAGGACCATCAAACACTCCAAAGGCTCTCAGCCACTGCTCTGGAGCCACATTAGACAGAGTGTTCCATTATTTCTTCCCTGAAAGGATTATTCAGGTATGAGAAGGGAGTACCATCCCTGGAGGTGGCACTCTGAGGTCTGCTCTGGGTGACAAGGTGCTGCTCAGTCACAGGCTGGCCTCAATGCTCTGGGAGATCTTTTCCAACCTCAACAATTCTGTAATTCCTCAGGGTTTTTGGAAATGCATTGCCAAGCCACCAGAAATTCCTCTGGGGCTGAGATGCAGCTGATTTCACTTGTGCACTAAACCCTGGCCCTTTAGGAATATCCCACAGCTCCTCAGGAGAAGGAAAACCTGGGGCTCAGCTCCCTATGTCCCCCTCAGCCATGTCCCCACCCCTGTGCTCTCCCACAGATCCTCTGGGGCTGAGGTGCAGCTGATTTCACTTGTGCACTAAATCCTGACCCTCAAGAGAAGGAAAACCTGTGCCTCAGGCTCCCATGTCCCCCTCAGCCACATCCCCACTCCTCTGCTGTCCCACAGTTTCTCCTGGGCTGAGATGCATCAGATTTCACTTGTGCACCAAACCCTGGCCCTTTAGGAACATCCCAGAGCTCCTCAGGAACAGGAAGAGCCTGTGCCTCAGGTCCCCATGTCCCCCTCAAACATGTTCCCATCCCCTGTGCTCTCCCACAGTTTCTCCTGGGCTGAGGTGCAGCTGATTTCCCTTATGCACTAAACCCTGCTCCTTTAGGAACATCCCAGAGCTCCTCAGGAGCAGGAAGAGCCTGTGCCCCAGGTCCCCATGTCCCCACCCCTGTGCTCTCCCAGATTCCCTCACAGATCCTCTGGGGCTGAGGTGATTTCCCTTGTGCACTAAACCCTGCTCCTTTAGGAACATCCCAGAGCTCCTCAGGAGCAGGAAGAGCCTGTGCCCCAGGTCCCCATGTCCCCTCCCTGTGCTCTCCCACAGATCCTGACGTGGCCGGAGCTGCGCGTGAACGGGGAGCAGCCCCCTGAGATCCTGGTGAACAACGTGGTGGCAGACCCTGCCTTCACCTACCTTGTTGTGCTGACCAGTGTGAACATTACAGCCATCTGGAAGAAATCCTAGTCCCCTGTGCCACTGCTCCACCCCCGTGCTTTGACCTAGTGCAGTATTAGTGACTGTTCCCCATGTGCCCATCAACGTTTTCTAGAGCAGCTTTATGTGCCAGATGGAGAAAAAAAAAAAAAAAAGAAAAACAAAAAACAAACAAGGTAAGAGTTTGTTAAACTCATCAGTTCATTGTAAACATCCGGTTCCTTTTACCGTAAGTTTTCACAATTTGTGCATTTGTTTTATAGAAATGACACTTAATAAAACAAAATACCAGTTCAGCTGGCAGTGCCTGGAATTTTTGGCAGGAAAAAGCAGAAAGTTCATGTCCAGCTGTCACTGAGCAGCTTCTCATGCTGGAATCCTACCCACAGCAACCTCCCCAGCAGCCCAGGACAAATATTTGCCTTAAGGCTCCAATTAGAAAACTAAAAATCACTTTAATGACTTATCCACCAAATCCAACATGACATTTATCCTCTTGGCAAAGTGCCTGTTGGCTATGAAAATAAAAATTAAAATATTGCTGTCAAAAATTAAACAGAAGTGGGACAGGGGGGGAAAATTTTTGCCATGAGTGGAGGTTTAAATATTTCATCCAGTAACAGACACGTCATTCTGCCTCAGAAGTAACAGTCTGCTCCATTTTACTCAATTCCTTCTTGTTTGTCCTTAATTGCAACCTGGAAAGCAAAAGGAAAAATACACATGCTTAGAGAGGAGTTGTTACTGAGCTGGATGTTGGTGTTTAATCATTCCTGTGAATCTTCTGTGAATCACAACCACCCACAGTGGAAAACTCTACAGCAACCAGAAAAATAATACTGGAATTAACACTTATTTACAAATTGGTGCCTTTCCCCAGCACATCAGAGGTACTAACTCAGTCACAGCCTCCCTGATTTTGTCTGGGTAAGATTAAATCTCAGCATTCAGGGGCTAAATGAATAAATAAACTGAGCAGAAGTGATGAGAAGTGAAAATACAGGCCCAGTTTTGTCAGGAGAAGTAAGAAAAAATTAAAAAAAAAAAATGTACTTAAGAGCAGCCAGGCTTTGACAGCAGCTGAACAACACAAGGAAGGTGGCTTGAATTAATTCATAAACCTAAACCCAGCAGCTCTGAGACACACACCAACATTATAACAAGGCCAAACAGTTTTCCAAAAGGAAAATAATCTCCTTACCCTGAACCTCTCCTCCAGGAGGGAGAGCTCACTGATCAGGTCTGTGATGGCATTGGTGAAAGCCTCCTGGGGGCTGTAATCTGGCGTGGTTTGGACACGGATGATGATTTTATGTTCCAGAGGGTGTGGGACCTTGTACCCTGCAAACAGCACCTGCGGGTCTTTGAGCAGCTGCCTGGAAGGGAATAAAAACCCCAAAGAGTGAAATGAAAGGCAGGAAAACCCCAAACCTCCCCCGAGATCTCTTCCCCGCCTGAACTTACGACTTGATGATGTTGCCGAGCGTGTGGTCCTCCTTGTTGATGGTGAACAGGCAGGCGTTGGGCACCTTGGTGTCCTTGTTGATGGTGATCCTGGGGATTTTGGGATACAGGGATGTCAGCGAGCCGTACGCGGCGGGGAACTGCGGGGAAAGGCCGGGGCTCCCCCCTCCCAGCTCTGATTAGGGTTTAATTCGTCGCCCCCCGGGTTTAATGAGCCGCCCCCCGCGTATCCCCTCACTTTTTCTCGCCCTCGAAGAGCAGGAAGGACTCGAAGGCCGGAGGCGCGTTCATCCCGCCGTTGCTATGGCGGCCGCTTCGCTTCCGCTACGTCACTTCCGCCATCTCCGTGCTCCTGGCGGCCTCACAGCGCCCCCAGGCGGGCGGGAGGACCCGGTGCGGGCAATGGCGGCAGCGGGAGCGGGGATAGCGGAGCTGGGGACACCGGGGCTGGGGACACCGGGGCCGGGGACCACGGCACAAACACGGGCGGCTCCCGCCTCAGAGCCACCGCTGCGGCCAGCGGCGGGGCCGGGAGGAGAACACACACCAGCGACACCCTCAGCGGTGTCCCCGCTGGAGACACCACCGCGCTGACCAGCTGGCACCATGGGCAGAGTCCAAGGATGCCACCACTGCCAGCAAGCCACCAGCAGAGCCACCAGTGATGGCACCAACAGAGCCAGCAGCAGCAGGGCCATCAGAAATGGCGCAGCAGGCACATCAAGCAATGGCAGCATTGCCACCATCAGCAGCGCCACCAAAAGAGCCCCCAGTGCTGCCATCAGTGCTGGCCGCCAGTGATGGCACCAGAAACGGCACCAGCAGGCCCCTGAGAGGTGTCCCCAGTGTAACTGCACCAGTGCCACCAGCAGGGCTCTGGGCAGTGCCCGGCCCGTCCCCACGCCCCGCAGACACACGGACAGGCCAAGGGTGGGTACAAAGTGCCTTTATTGCAGGGCCGCGCTCCCCGGCCGGGCCCTCACGTCTGCAGCCGCAGCAGCGCCGGCGCCGGGGGCGGCGGGGGCAGCGCCCGCCCGTGGCAGCGCTCCAGCTCCGCCAGCACCGCCAGCAACCGGCTCAGCCCCTCGGGCAGGGCAGCGTCTGCGGGACACGGAGCGACAGTGACAGCCCGCAGCTCCCCTGGGGCCACCCTAACCACCACAACCCCTGGGGTCACCTCAAACCACCACAGCGCCCCTGGGGTCACCACAGCCCCTGGGGTCACCTCGAACCACCACAGCGCCCCTGGGGCCACCCCAGCCACTGCAGCTCCCCTGGGGTCAACACAGCCACCACAGCCCCTGGGGTCACCTCAGCCACTGCAGCCCCCATGGGGTCACCCCAGCCCCTGGGGTCACCACAGCTCCCCTGGGGTCACCACAGCCTCCACAGCTCCCCTGGAGTCACCTCAGCCACCACAGCTCCCCTGGGGTCATCGCAACCACCACAGCCCCTAGGGTCACTCCTACCACTGCAGCTCCTGGGGTCACCCCCGCCACCACAGCCCTTGGGGTCACCTCGAACCACCACAGCCCCTGGGGTGACCCAGCCACCACAGCCCCCTGTGACCCCTGGGGACAGCTCCCATCCCCAGCAGGACCCCTCACCCGCACCCACCTTCCCCCCGGGGTCCGTTCTGGCCGTGCTCGGGCTCCAGCAGCTCCCAGTACTTGTCCCTGCGGAGAGGAGAGGGCCGGGCCCGTGGCAGGAGGGGAAGGGGCGGCCGGGGCCGTGCGGGGTCCCGGGGCAGGGCTCACCTGAGCGTGTCCCGCAGGCCCTGCAGGTGCTGGAAGAGGCGCTGAGCCTCCACCGCGGGCTCCAGCGGGTCACTCCAGTCCTGCAGGGTGACGCCGTGCCGGGTCCGGTCGCATCCCAGCCCTGTGGGACAGCAGGGTCACCGCACTTGGGGACACCCCAGCACCCCCGGGTGCCACCTCCCTGTACCTGTCCTGTCGCGCTGGTGGCAGCAGCTCCACTTGTCGCCGCGGAACACGCCGGGGTGGTAGGAGCGGAGCACCCGGGGGTTGTTGCCGCACACCTTGCGCAGGGCCGACAGCCACTGGTTCAGCTCGTTGACACACTGCGGGATTGGGGACACTCAGAGGGACCCCGGGCAGTGCCACCACACAGGCAGTGCCAGCCCCCGGGCTGTGCCACTGCTGGGGCTGTCCCCGCCGCACCTTGCACTGCAGGTAGGCCGTCTCCTGCTGCCCGCCCGTGGCCAGGTAGACCACCTGCATGACGTGCGAGCTGCCGAAGCTCTTCTCCTCCACCTTCTCGGCCGCCAGGATGTCGCCCAGCGCGATGGCACCGATGCGCTGATAGAGGGGACACACACACAGGGGAAACAGAGGGCTGTTTTTCCCTTTGGGAGGGCTAGCTCTGTGGTAAGCAGTTAATGCTTCCAGGGCTGAGGGCTTGGGGATTGACCAAAGAGCGAGAGTTCATGCAGCTGCCCAGGGATGACCTGTGGCTGTCCCCCAGGCCATGGCCCCGCTGCCGCCCCCCTGTCCCCCCAGCACGGCCGTACCTCCGCTCCGGGGCTCTTGCCGAAGCTCAGGGACTCTCCGGTGAGGCAGAAATGCAGTTTCTTGCCGGCGGCAGCAGCGAGCAGCGGCCCCTTGCCCCGTGTTTTGTGCACAAGGAGCAGCCCCTCCTTCAGCACGGCCAGCGGGGGCTGCCCCTCACCCTGCTCCTCGCCCTGCTCCTGCTCGGTGCCCACCAGGCGGGTGATGAAGTCCCTCATGCGGGCGGTGCCCTGCTGCAGGGCGGGCAGCAGCGGCGACAGCCAGGTCTCCTTGGCGCGCCCGGCCGCCGGCTCCATGTTCCCCACCAGCTGGATGGCCTGGGGACCCCGGCAGCGGCAGTGTCACCCCCGGCTGGCCCCAAGGAGAAGCAGCCGGGCACCCCAGAGCCCAGCCCCGGTGTCCCCGGTGCCGCACCTTGGCCAGCAGCAGCAGCGTGCGGCTGGTCCGCGCGTCCGCGTGTGTGGCCCGCAGCTGGAACAGCTTGGGCGTCATCACGGCCGGCGAGAAGAAGCGCAGGCACAGGAAGCTGGTGACAGCCACAAATTTGGCGTGCTGTGACCGCCGAGGGGTGGGGAACACACGTGAGGGTCTCTCCCAGCGTGGGACGGCCCCACAGACAGCGATGCACCGGTGGCCGGGGCTGCTGCTTGCCCGAGAGGGGCACCGCGCCCAGAGAGCGCTGTCCCCGGGGGATGTCCCTGTCTGACCCCGCTCCATCCCCACCTGGTGCTGCGGGAAGCGCTCCCCGACGCGCTGGAAGAGCTGGCGGAACGCGGCGCGGATCAGGGGCGGACACGCCGGGGCCGACCTGACGATGGCGTCCAGGAGCTCGCCCAGGTAGGACTGGAGGTGCTGCCGGCTCTGCTCGATCACCTCGCCCTCCGTCTGCACCCGGTGCAGCCCCGAGCACCTGCGGGCACCGCCGCTGTCACCCCCAGCGCTGGGGACAGCCCTGCCCTGCCGCCCCACGAGCCCTTACCCGACGTCTTTGATCTCCACCTTGCCCGGGTCCAGCTCCACATATTTCTTCTCCTCGAACACGCGGGTGATGGTGGGGCCCAGGACAAAGTGCAGGTATGGCATCCCTGTCACCTGTCAGGGACCACACAGGGACAGGGATGGGCTGCAGATTTGGCACCCGACACCCCCAGGGTCACCCAGTGGGTTTTGTCCAGCCTCCCACCCCCAGGGCAAGGCACAAGCACAGCAGCTCTCCCATTCCTTCTCCTGGGAACAGCCCAGGGTCAGGATGGCCTGGGAAGAGCAGGTTTTGGGTGGTGTGGCACCTTGAGGAAGGACTCCATGGACTTCGAGGCCAGAGAGTTGCTCCGGAACAGAGTGTTGGGCTCACCTGCAAAACAGGAGAGGGGCCATGGCCTGGGGGACAGCCACAGGTCACCCCTGGGCAGCTGCATGTAACATCCCATGAACTCTCTCTCTGGTCAATCCCCAAGCCCTCAGCCCTGGAAACAGTAACTGCTGACCACAGAGTTAGCCTTCCCAAAGGGAAAAACAGACTCCCCCATGGACTTGGTGTCACAACCTCCTCTGGTTTCTCCTTCCCCTGTCACTGGCTTGGCACCCCATTGGGGCAGCACCCGCAGCTGCAGTCATGGGCTCATTCCCAGAAGCTGTGCCCTGCCCCCCTGCCCATTTCCATGGGGATCATGGGGATTTCCTAACCTCAGCCCACCTGCTCCTCCACCAACCCCAGCCCATGAGCTGCTGGGATGCGCCCAACAGATTCCACAGCGTGATGGCTGAGCCTCAACCATCACTCCCAAAAAATCCCCACAAAAGGCCCTGCAGGTTTTGCAGCCCCAGGAGACGATAAAGAAGCCTCGGGGTCCACTCCCCATTCCAGCCTTACAGGGCTTGGCCAGCTCCAGCTCAAAGAGCAGGTCCAGGAACTCCTTGACCAGCCCCTGGCCCAGGAAGAGTTTGACCAAGTTGATGGCGACCTCCTGGCGGCACTCGGCCGTGGTGGTTTCGTCCAGGAGGGTGACCAGGTGCACTTGGCCATCCTGGAGGGGAGAGGCACCATAACGTGGCAGCCCGAGGCAGGCACAGAGCTGGGAAATGTGGGTGCCCCAGCAGGGCTGGGCATGCACCCCTCACCTGGCGCCCCGACTTCACCTCCTGGCACAGGAGCTGCACCAGGGGCTGGTAGCACTGGGAGGGAAGAACTGTCTCATCCCGGAGCTTCACCTGCAGCTGCAGCGAGCCCAGGCTGCCCCGGCGCCTGCAGGAGCACGGGGAGGGTGGGTGGGTGAGCGATGGATGGATGGATGGAGGGATGGAGGGATGGATGGACAGAGATGGATGGATGGACAAGGGATGGATGGACATATAGGTGAACAGAAGGATGGAATGATGGATGGGTGGGTGGATGGATGGATGGATGGACGTATAGGTGAACAAAAGGATGGAGGGATGGAGGGATGGAGGGATGGACAATGGATGGACGTATAGGTGAACAGAAGGATGGAAGGATGGGTGGATGGATGGATGGATGGATGGATGGATGGATGGATGGATGTATAGGTGAACAGAAGGATGGAGGGATGGAGGGATGGACAATGGATGGACGTATAGGTGAACAGAAGGATGGAAGGATGGGTGGATGGATGGATGGATGGATGGATGGATGGACGTATAGGTGAACAGAAGGATGGAGGAATGGAGGGATGGACAATGGATGGACGTATAGGTGAACAGAAGGATGGAAGGAAGGATGGATGGGTGGATGGATGGATATTTCACCCAGCAGGAGGTGGTCTGAGGCCAGTCT